TATACATCTCACAAAATTTGCAATTTTAGTCACTTCTAAGTGTACAAACTTTGGGTACATTCACTGTTTTACAAACCTTGTATCATCCATCTCCAGAACTTTTTCATCTTCCCAAGCTAAAACTCCAACCCTATTTCCCACTTAACCTCCAGCAATCATCATTTTACTTTGTATCAATTCAACTACTCTAGGAACCTACTATAAGTGAAAAAAAAATATGTCCTTTTGTGACTGGCTTATTTTACTTAGCGCAGTGTCCTCACAGCTCATCCATGTTGTAGCATGGATCAGAATTTTACTCCTTTTTAAAACTGAGTCATAGTCCATTAGTATATGGTATATGTCATGGTGTATATATCACAACTTGTCTATCCATCCATTCACATTTGGCTATTGTGAATAAGGCTGCTATGAACATGGCTGTACAAATATCTGCTTGAGTTCCTGCTTTCAATTTTTGGGTATATACCTAGAAGTGGAATAACTGGACCATACAGTAATTCTATGCTTAATTTTCTGAGGAACCATCATGCCATTTTACACAGCAGCTGCACCATTTCACATTCCCATTAGCAATGCAAAAGGGTTCTAATTTCTCCACATCCTCACCAATAACTGTTATTTCTGTTTCTTTGATAATGGCCATCCTACTGGGTGTGAAGTGATACAGCATTGTGGGTTTTTTTAAGTCATGATTTTTTTCCTTGACACTTTGCCAAGGGCTATGCTAACAGGGTAGGGCAGAAGTACAAATTTGGGCCATGACTGACTTACCCTTTGTGCCAGCCTATCTGTCTAACCCCACAAGGTCTGGAAATGGACTTTAACACATGACATAGCTAATCATCATCACTAATAAGCAAAATAACACACTGGTTCTGCATTGTCACTAAAGCAAACTTGTTTTGGACTGAGCCACAGCAGCAGTTGAAAGGGTATCCTTACACCTGGGATAGTAGTGGTAGAATGGAAAGAAAATGAACTTGAAAACTGGGTTCTAGTCCTGCCTGTGTCATCCTGACCAGACTCTTAGCTTCTCTGAGACTCATTTTCTTCATCTGTAAAACAGGACCAATAATTCCTTCTTCACAGGGTTGTTGTTAAGGATTAAAAAAGATGTGTGTGTGTAGTAGGAGGGCATGGCACTAGAGTAACAGTTACCATTTATGGTGCAACTATCAAATGTCACATGCTGTGCGAGGTGGTTGATATGTATTACCTCTAAGCCTCACCAGCAGATATATGTTATTATCTCCTTTTTAACAGAGAAAGAAACTTGAGCCTCAGAAAAGTTAACTGTCTTATTCAAGATCACACAGGTAGTAATGGAACCATGATTCAAACCCAGATCTGTCCATGCTCTTTCCACAACATACCAGTAGTACCAAATCATGTCAGCTCTAACCCACCGTGTACTATGTTAAGAAAGATTCTGATGCTGCATCCATGTGCCATATTTTGGCATCCCTACATTATAGCTGAAATGCTGCCCAAATAGAAGGTACACTCATGTACAACATCATTGTCACTATTCTCAAACAACTGATTCAATTTTTCTGATAAAGGGTACTATGAAAGCAAATATAAAAGGTCTAATGATTTTAATAATAAATTCTAAATAAGACCATAATTTATTGCAAAAACTGTTTTGATAGACCTCTTGGTCAAAAAAACATAGTCATCAGACTAAGTAATAGTTCTGCAAACAGAACTGTCAATAAAGATACTATTAATTTGTTAATCCTTAATGGGTATTGGCTGTTATTCTAATTTAATATTGAAACATTTTGCCTTTCCCTTGGAGATTGTCAGCTCAGGTTGAATAAAGTCCCTATGTGCTTATAGCTTCCAAAACTATTTTTTTTCAGTGGCAGATAGAGATATACCGTCTATAGAGAGAGGCAAGATGGCAGAGGAGTAGCAGACTGAAACAACATCAGATCCCAGGAGTTCAGCTAGATAGGTATCAAACCATTCCGAACACCTAAAAGCTCAACAGGAGATAGAAGAGAAGAAGAGCAGCAATTCTAGGAACAGAAAATTGACCAATTTCTGAAAGGTGGGACGTACAGAGAAGGGAATCCGAGGTGACAGGGAAGATAGGCTGCGAGAGGAGGGTCCAGCTCCTGGAAAGCAGTGGAGCAGTGGAGCACAAAATCAGAATTTTTGGAAGTCTGCTCCACGGACGGAAATCACTCCAGAGGCTAAGTGGGGGTGGAGCCCTCATGGGACAGTGTGCTCTCAGGTCCCATGGGGTCACAGAAAGATTGAGGGTGTCTGAGTGTGACAGAGCTGCCAGGTATTGGAGTGGGGAAGCCAATTACAGAGACAGAGCCGAAGAGTGAGCTTTCAGATCAGATTACCTTAAACCATGATCCAAGACACAGTCGGGCTACTACTCTTCAAGCAGGGCAACACAAGTGGCAGAGCTGGGGAGACTACCTTCCTGCTCTGGGAGGAGCAGCGCGGCAGGAATCTGCTGGGTTTGGAGACTCCAAAAGGGCCCGTGCACCAGAGATAGAAATGCTCGGTCACAGACCAGGTGAGCTCGGAGTGCGGCCGGAGACCAGGGAGACAGGAGTGATTGACTGCATATGTCTGAGGGCACACTGAGGAGTGGGGCCCCAAGCTCTCGGCTCCTCCAGGCCGGAGACTGGGAGGCCACCGTTTTTATCCCCATCCTCCAGAGCTCTATGGAAAGCATTCAGGGAACAAAAGCTACTGAGAGTAAACCTGAGCAGATTACTTAGCCCAGTCCCTGGCAAGGAGGTGCAATTCCACCTCAGGCAAAGACATTTGAGAATCACTGCAACAGGCTCTTCCCCCAGAAGATTAGCAAGAATATCCAGGCAAGACCAAGCTCACCGGAGGCTTAAGGAGAACAGCGGAACTCCAGAGCTAGGGGAAAGCAACACAGAGAATTCATGGCTTTTCCCCCATGATCCTTTCCTCTTACAAAGTTAATTTCTTTTAATTTTATGTTTTTCTTATTCTATTTTTTAAGTTCTCCTCTTTCCTCTTTTAGCGTTTATTTAACTAGTTTATCTTAACAATTGCTTTCTAAAAACAATCTTTATAAACCTTCAATATTATAGTCATTTTTTATCCCTTCACTGTATTTAACCTTACTTTTCGTATACACATAGGTTTTTTCTTTATTCTAAAAAATTTTGGGATATAATTTCTTCTAATAGATCAAAATATACCCTAATCTAGCACATGGCTTTGTTCTAGTCTCCAGCCTGAGCACATTCCTTCCTCTTTTTATTCTTTTTCCAAACAACTTATCTTATCAATTCCTTTTGTAGAATTTTTTTTTAATTTTCATCTTTACAGTCACATGCCATCCCTTCATTGTGTTTACCCTTATATTTGTCTGTGTGTGTATATATATCTATATATATATATACACATATATAACTTTTTCTTTCTTTAAAATTTTGGGAGGTAGTTTCTTCTAAGATACCAAAATCAAGTGGGTAGCTCTGTTCTATTCACCAGTCTAATATATATATATATATATAATTTGTTTTTATTTTTTAATTTTTATCTTTTTCCCCCTTTCTTCTCCCACTGGTTTTAGGATCTCTTCTGATTTGGTTAGCATGCATTTTTCTGGGGTCTCTGCCACATTTTTAGTGTTTTATTCTCTTGTTCATATATTCTTATCTGGATAAAATGACAAGGCAGAAAAACTCAACACAAAAAAAAAAGAACAAGAGGCAGTACCAATGGCTAGGGACCTAATCAATATGGACATTGGTAATAAGTCAGAACTAGAGTTCAGAACAATGATTCTCAAGGTGCTAGCCGGGCTCAAAAAAGGCATGGAAGATATTAGAAAAACCCTGTCTGGAGAAATAAAAGCCCTTTCTGGGGAGAAATAAAAGAACTAAAGTCTAACCAAACTGAAATCAAAAAAGCTATTAATGAGGTACAATAAAAAAATGGAGGCTCCTACTGCTAGGATGAATGAGGCAGAAGAGAGAATTAGTGATATAGAAGACCAAATGACAAAAAATAAAGAAGCTGAGCAAAAGAGAGACAAACAACTACTGGACCACGAGGGGAGAATTCGAGAGATAAGTGATACCATAAAGTGAAACAATATTAGAATAATTGGGATTCCAGAAGAAGAAGAAAGAGAGGGGGGAGCAGAAGCTATATTGGAGCAAATTACTGTAGAGAATTTCCCTAGTATGGGAAAGGGAACAAGCATCAAAATCCAGGAGGTGCAGAGAACCTCCATCAAAATCAATAAAAATAGGTCCACACCCCGTCATCTAATAGTAAAATTTGTAAGTCTTAGTGACAAAGAGAAAATCCTGTAAGCAGGATTAAAGATTTTAAAAAAAAGATTTAAAGACTTTAAGTCAAACACTATAATAAGGAAGGACACTATATCATACTCAAAGTGTCTGTCCAACAAGAAGATCTAACAATTTTAAATATCTATGCCCCTAACATGGGAGTAGCCAACTATATAAACCAATTAATAACAAAATCAAAGAAACACATAGACAATGATACAATAAGAGTAGGGGACTTTATCAGCCCACTCACTGAAATGGACAGATCATCCAAGTAAAAGATCAACAAGGAAATAAAGGCCTTAAATGACACACTGGACCAGATGGACATCACAGATATATTCAGAAAATTCCATCCCAAAGCAACAGAATACACATTCCTCTCCAGTGCACATGGAACATTCTCCAGAATAGACCACATCCTGGGTCACAAATCAGGTCTCAACTGGTACCAAAAGATTGGGATCATTCCCTGCATATTTTCAGACCACAATGCTCTGAAGCTAGAACTCAATCACAAGAGGAAATTTGGAAAGAACACAAATACATGGAGACTAAAGAGCATTCTACTAAGGAATGAATGGTCCAACCAGGAAATTAAAGAATAATTGAAAAAATTCATGGAAATAAATGATAACGAAAACACAACTGTTCAAAATCTGTGGGACACAGCAAAGGCAGTCTGGAGAAGAAAATATATAGCGATACAAGCCTTTCTCAAGAAACAAGAAAAGTCTCAAGTACACAACTTAATCCTATACCTAAAGGAGCTGCAGAAAGAACAGCAAAGAAAGCCTAAACCAGCAGGAGAAGAGAAAAAATAAAGATCAGAGCAGAAATCAATGAAATAGAAACCAAGAGAACAGTAGAACAAATCAACGAAACTAGGAGCTAGTTCTTTGAAAGAATTAATAAGATTGATAAACCCCAGCCAGACTTAACAAAAAGAAAAGAGAAAGGACCCAAATAAATAAAATCATGAATGAAAGAGGAGAGATCACAACCAACACCAAAGAAATACAAACAATTATAAGAACATATTATGAGCAACAATACACCAGCAAATTTGACAATCTGGAAGAAATGGATGCATGCCTAGAGATGTATAAACTGCCAAAACTGAACCAGGAAGAAACAGAAAAACTGAGCAGACCCATAACCAGTAAGGAGATTAAAGCAGTCATCAAAAATCTCCCAACAAACAAGAGCCCAGGGCCAGATGGTTTCCCAGGAGAATTCTACCAAACATTTAAAGAAGAATTAATACCTACTGTCCTGAAACTGTTCTAAAAATAGGAATGGAAGGAAAACTTCCAAACTCATTTTTTGAGGCCAGCATCACCTTGGTCCCAAAACCAGACAAGGATCCCATCAAAAGGAGAATTACAGACCAATATCCTTGATGAACACAGATGCAAAAATTCTCACCAAAATACTAGCCAACAGTACACTCGAAGGATTATTCACCACGACCAAGTGGGATTTATTCCAGGGCTGCAAGGCTGGTTCAACAGCCACAAGTCAATCATTGTGATACAATACATTAATAAAAAGAAAGAATAAGAACCATATGATACTCTCCATAGATGCTGAAGAAGCATTTGACAAAGTACAGCATCCCTTCCTGATCAAAACTCTTCAAGGTGTAGGGATAGAGGGTACATACCTTAATATTATCAAGCCATCTATGAAAAACCCACCGCAAATATCATTCTCAATAGGGGAAAACTGAGAGCTTTTCCCCTAAGGTCAGGAACATGGCAGGGATGTCCAGTATCACAAATGTTATTCAACATAGTACTAGAAATCCTAGTCCTAGCTTCAGCAATCAGACAACAAAAAGAAATTAAAGGCATCTGAATTGGCAAAGAAGAAGTCAAATTATCACTCTTCACAGGTGATATGATACTTTCTGTGGAAAACCCAAAAGACTCCACTCCAAAACCGCCTGAACTCATACAGGAATTCAGTAAAGTGTCAGGATATAAAATCAATGCACAGAAATCAGTTGCATTTCTATACACCAACAGCAAGACAGAAGAAAGAGAAATTAAGGAGTCAATCCCATTTACAACTGCACCCAAAACCATAAGATACCTAGGAATAAACCTAACCAAAGAGGCAAAGAATCTGTACTCAGAATACTATAGTGTACTCATGAAAGAAATTGAGGAAGACACAAAGAGATGGAAAAACGTTCCATGCTCATGGATTGGAAGAACAAATGTTGTGACAATGTTTATGCTACCTAAAGCAATCTACACATTCAATGCAATCCCTATCAAAATACCATCAATTTTTTCAAAGAAATGGAACAAATAATCCTAAAATTTATATGGAACCAGAAAAGACCTCGAATAGCCAAAGGAATATTGAAAAAGAAAACCAAAGTTGGTGACATCACAATTCCAGACTTCAAGCTCTATTACAAAGCTGTCATCATCAAGACAGTATGGTACTGGCACAAAAACAGACACATAGATCAATGGAACAGAATAGAGAGCCCAGAAATAGACCCTCAACTCTATGGTCAACTAATCTTCGACGAAGCAGGAAAGAATGTCCAATGGAAAAGAGACAGTCTCTTCAACCAATGGTGTTGGGAAAATTGGACAGCCACATGCAGAAAAATGAAATTGGACCACTTCCTTACACCACACACAAAAACAGACTCAAAATAGATGAAGGACCTCAATGTGAAAAAGGAATCCATCAAAATCCTTGAGGAGAGCACAGGCAGCAACCTCTTCGACCTCAGCCGCAGCAACTTCATCCTAGAGACATTGCCAAAGGCAAGGGAAGCAAGGGGAAAGATGAATTCTTGGGACTTCATCAAGATCAAAAGGTTTTGCACACAGCAAAGGAAACAGTCAACAAAACCAAAAGACAACTGACAGAATGGGAGAAGACATTTGCAAATGACATATCAGATAAAGGGCTATCTTTATCTGATATGCTACCAAAAATCTATAAAGAACTTGTCAAACTCAACACCCAAAGAACAAATAATCCAATCAAGAAATGGGCAGAGGACATGAATAGACATTTCTGCAAAGACATCCAGATGGCCAACTGACACATGGAAAAATGCTCACCATCACTCAGCATCAGGGAAATACAAATCAAAACCACAATGAGATACCACCTCACACCAGTAAGAATGGCTAAAATTAACAAGTCAGGAAACGACAGATGTTGGAGAGGATGTGGAGAACGGGGAACCCTCCTATATTGTTAGTGGGAATGCAAGCTGGTGCAACCACTCTGGAAAACAGCATGGAGGTTCCTCAAAAAGTTAGAAATAGAGCTACCCTATGACCCAGTAATCGCACTACTGGGTATTTGCCCTAAAGATACAAATGTAGTGATTTTGAAGGGGCATGTGCACACGAATGTTCATAGCAGCAATGTCCACAATAGCCATATTATGGAAAGAACCTAGATATCCATCAACAGATGAAGGGATAAAGATGTGGTATATATGCACAATGGAATACTATGCAGCCATCAAAAGAAATGAAATCTTGCCATTTGCAACAATGTGGATGGAGTTAGAGGGTATTATGCTGAGCGAAGTAAGTCAATCAGAGAAAGACAATTAACACGTGATCTCTCTGATATGAGGAATTTGAGAGGCAGAATGGGGGGGGGCTTTGGGGTTAGGGAAGGGAAAACAAAGCAAGATGGGATTGGGAGGGAGACAAAACATAAGAGACTCTAAATCTCATGAAACAAACTGAGGGTTGCTGGGGGGCAGGAGGTATGGAGAGGGTGGTTGGGTTATGGACATTAGGGAGGGTATGTGATTTGGTGTGTGCTGTGAAGTGTGCAAGCCTGATGATTCACAGACCTGTTCCCCTGGGGCAAATAATACATTATATTTTAATAAAAATAATTAATAAAACAAAAACAAACAAAAAAAGATATACTGTCTATATTTATTGATGAAGATGATACATTAGGCAAAATCTTCCAATCTCTGAAATTCAATTCTAAATGTTTAAATTCTTCCAAAATGTTCACTTGCATATTCTTTTATATATTTTTCATTCTGCAAAATGCCAGTTTTCTTATCACAGCAATGTAGCCACATAAAGTATTTGAGAAGGTACAGTGAAAAACAGCAAATCCTCAAAAAACTATATACTTACAATCTCTCAACAAAGTATTACTTTTCCTTGGGTACAAAACATGCATGAATTTTTTCCCAACAGCTTTTAGATCACGCATCTGAAAGACATAAACAACTTCTTGTAGTGTCCTGACCAAGTTACGAAGTAGTCCCCTCAGTTAATTTGCTCAAATTTATTTTAACCTCCTAGGTTCACTGAATTTGGGAACTATAATGTCAGTTTTACACCTTCACTATACAAACAGAAAAGTAATGCATTTCTACTAACTTTTTTTCCTTTTTTTAATTTACTTAAATTCAATTAATTAATATAAAGTGCATAATCGGTTTCAGAGGTAGAGGTCAATGATTCATCAGTCTTATATACTACCCAGTGCTCTATTAACTTCTTAATTAACTCCTTAAGCCAACATTTAACTCTTTACCACATCCACCTGTTCTGTTTTGATTTTTAAAGCTCTTTAAAGGAGAAACACAGCTGTACTAATATGTTACTTAAAGAAACTAAAATAATGTAACTATTAAAATCTACTCTGCAACACATGGCATCTGACTTTCAGTTCATAACTGATGAAGTCCTAAGGGCCAATTAGCCTGCTCCCTAACTACCATATTATACAGAATAAAACAAATTAATTTCCAACATTCACAATTTAACTGGTAAATGAATCCTAGAAGCAAGATTTCTAAAAATCAAGACAGCTGAGGAGCACCTGGGTGGCTCAGGTAATGCTCTTACAGTCCTGGGATCAAGCCCCCTGTTGGGCTCCCTGCTCAGCAGGGAGTCTGCTTCTCCTTCTCACTCTCCCCCTCCCCCACCCTGTTCAATCTCCTCTCTCTCTTTCAAATAAATAAAACTTTTTAAAAAATCTAGACATTTGAGGAAGAGTACAGTAATACAAATATAACCTGTCAAAATATAGTTGAGACAATTCTGTCCTAATTTTTTCACCTAGAAATTTCTTCATGTAATTAACAGTTCTTTATAAATACATTTTTAACAGTTGTTTAGTATTCCATCCCATAGATATAATTTACTTAACTGAAATCCCTTCTGTTGTTCAATTTACCCTTATTATAAGGAATGCTGTAATAAACATCTTTGTATATTAATATTCTTCTGTATTTTGAAAAATGTTTTTTAAAATTCCATATACCCTATGTGGAGCAGAATTACCAGCTTAAAAATATTCGAACATTGTAAGATTCTTAATACTCATTACAGCCAAATTGCTCTCCAAAAAGGCTGTACGAGTTATTCTCTAGGGGAAAATCTTAAATTTCAATAAATAAGATGTACTGAAAATCAGTGAGCCAAACAAAAAAAGTCCTATAGTTACTTAGTCCCATGATACTGAACAGACGTTCTCTCAGCTAGGCTAACTTACAATGGTATTCTGAACAGATTCATTTAATGTGGAGCTGTCAAATTCCCGAATATGAGATCTCATAGGAATGGTGATTTCTCCTTCCACAGGGATGTCTTGTGAGATCGATATATCAGAAAGGCCTGCAAACTGAGAAGAGTTGGGGAAAAAAATTAAAGTCTGTAATCAACTGCAGCATTTTTCAAAGACATCATTTCCTAGTGAGTAGGGACTATGTCTTTTCATGGGGTGTTACACAGTTTTTAAAGTAAGGTATTAGTTTACCAGACATTACACAATGTGGTCAACTAAAATTCTCAAATGGTTTTTTCTTTTAACTTAAAGAAGGAGATGGCACATGATGGAAAAAATTACAAAGTAAATGGCATAGACACTTTCTTGCCCTCAAATATTTGCTTTCTTTCAAGCATGAAACCTTCACATGGCACAAGCTAGCAAGATTGCACAGCTATCTGAAAGTGACCTTTTGGCAATTGCATCTTCACACAGCCACAATTCTATAGCTCTTTGCTCTGTGGTAGGCTCTGGTGGGCTCTGCTGGCTAGAAAGGAGCGTGAAGTGAAGCCTAACGGGAAACTGGGAAGAACAAGGAAATATCAAAATAAATTCTCATCGCTACTCTTTCTACCAGGTTACCTAGCAAACCAGATCAAGTAACATTTCCAAAGTGAATTATGAGATTGCAAGCTTATAAACTCTTATGTTCAAATGCCAAATTTTATTAGTATAACTAAAACTCTGAAATCTTCAAGTCCCTAAGAAAATAAAAGCAATCCCTTCTCACATGGATTTTGGCCCAAAAGGCATAATATTTAAAGGGTAGCAGTTGCAGGTAAATGAAGTACAAGACAGTACACTGAAATTTTAGGAAGAATAAAGTTGCTCAAAGAACTTATGAAAAATAACTTCTAAAACACACTTTTAATAAGAAATGCAAATTAAAGCTACTTGTAATAAACATTTTTCCCTGTTAAGACTGGCAAAAATACAACAGTTTGACAACATACTCTGGGAGTGAAGTAGTCACACACATCTGGTGGGAATGCAAAATAATACTACAGTCTGCTGAAGATGAATCTGGCAATATCTAGCAAATTTATACATGGATCACCCATTGACTAAGCAATGCTACTTTTAGGAGTCTAAAGACAAGGGGCAAAAACACAAAAACACATATACACAAAGCTACTTATTATAACACTACTTATAAAAGCAAAAACCCGAGAATAACCCATATGCCCATCAACAGAGGACTACTTGAATAAAGTATGGGATATGGACATAACAGAGTTCTATGCAGCTGTAAAAGAAATGGGAGTATCTTCAAAGTACTATTTATGGAGTGTTAAATAAAAAAGGAATGTGGAGAAAAGTTTGTAAAATATGCTACCATTTACCTAAGAAAGGAGAAAATACAAATAAACACTCTGACACCTGAACGTTATTTTTAAGATTTTATTTATTTGACAGAGAAAGAGCATGAGGAGCAGAAGGAGAGGAAGAAGCAAACTCCCTGCAGAGCAAGGAGCTCAATGTGGGAGTTGATCGCCAGACCCTGGGATCATGACCTGAGCCAAAGGCAGATGCTTCATAGGCTGAGCCACCCAGGCATCCCTAATGTTATCTTTTAAATGTAAGAAATGTGTAAGAAATAAATCATGCAGTGTGATGTACGTCATATGATTTTTTTAAAAAGAGGTCTCTTATTAAGGAAAGGGAGGAATAAGGTAGAGGAGACAGGGAAAGAGGCTAGGCTTTGTCAAATACAAGTTGTTCCATGTATATGACTTGAAATCATACAAATAGTTCACATAATTATGAAACAAAATTAAAACTTAAAAGAAGTCCTTAAAACTGAAAGAAAAATAAAAGAAATGAACCTATGGTATGATGAATTAAATATTCACAACCACACAGAGAGCAACTATTTCAAGTGGCTTTAAATTCAAGTAATTTGACTTGTGATTAGGATGTAGAGAGCTGGAAAGAATACCGTCCCCCCCACCCTGCCAACAGAATGAGAAAAAGTTAGATGAACTACAAAATCACAACTTTTCTTGAACCGATCAAAGAGTTGAGGTTGTAGGGCAACCAAGCAGCCTGTATAAAATCTAAGGAAAGAAAGGTGCTTCCAGAGAGGAGGAGTCAAGATGGCGGAGAAGTAGCAGGCTGAGACGACATCAGGTAGCAGGAGATCAGCTAGATAGCTTATCAAATCACTCCAAACACCTACAAATCCAAGAGGAGATCGAAGAGAAGAAGAGCAACAATTCTAGAAACAGAAAATCGACTACTTTCTGAAAGGTAGAATGGGAAGAGAAATGAATCCAAAGCAACGGGAAGATAGACTGTAGTGGGGAGGGGCCGGCTCCCGGCAAGCGGCGGAGCAACGGAGCACAAAATCAGGACTTTTAAAAGTCTGCTCCAATGAGGGACATCACTCCAGAGGCTACACCGGGGTGAAGCCCATGCGGGGACAGCGTGGCCTCTGGTCCCACAGGGTCACAGAAGGATCGGGGATGTCTAAGTGTCTCAGAGCTCGCAGGTATTAGAGCAGGGAAGTCAGCTACAGAGACGGAGCTGAAGAGTGAGCTCTCAACTCGGGGTTATCTTGAACCTAATCCGTGGCACAGGCCACTGCTCTGTGAGTGGGGTCCCCACAAGATCCGGGGAGACCCCCCTGGAAGAGCTCAGGGATCTGCAGTTCAGAAACTCCAGGCGGAGCTGTGTGCCAGGGACAGAGATGCTTGGTCACAGGCTAGGTGAGCTTGGAGTGCAGCCGGAGGACAGGGAGACGGGAGTAATTGAACGCTTTGCTCTGAGGATGCACTGAGGAGTGGGGCCCCGAGCTCTTGGCTCCTCCGGGCCGGAGATTGGGAGTCCGCCATTTTCATTCCCATTCTCTGGAACTCTACGGAAGGCATTCAGGAAACAAAAGCTCTTGAAAGCAGGGGCGCCTGGGTGGCTCAGTGGGTTAAAGCCTCTACCTTCGGCTCAGGTTATGGTCTCAGAGTCCTAGGATAGAGCCCCACATCGGGCTCTCTGCTCAGCAGGGAGCCTGCTTCCCCCCTTCTCTCTGCCTGCCTATGATCTCTCTGTCAAATAAATAAATAAAATCTTTAAAAAAAAAAAAAAAAAAAAAAGCTCCTGAAAGCGAACCCGAGCAGATTACTTAGCCTGGCCCCTGGTAAGGGCAGTGCAATTCAGCCTTGGGCAAAGACACCTAAGAATCACTACAACAGGCCCCTCCCCCAGAGGATCAACAAGAAATCCAGCCAAGACCAAGTTCACTTACCAAGGAGAACAGCAGAATTCCAGAGGAGGAGAAAGCAAAGCATGGAATTCATGGCTTTCTCCCCATGATTCTTTAGTCTTGCAAAGTTAATTTTTTTTCTTCTGCTAAATTTTTTTAACTGTTACCCTTTCCTCTTTTAATGTTTTTTTAACTAGTTTATCTTAACCACACATTTCATTAAAAAAATAATCTTTTTTTGAACCTTCATTATTATAGTCATCTTTTATCCTTCATTTTATCTAACTTTATTTTTTGCATATACATAGGGTTTTTTCTTCTAAGAAATTTGGGGTACAACTTCTTCTAATAGATCAAAATATACCCTAAATCTAGCACCGGGCTTGTTCTAGTCTCCAGCCTGAGCAAATTCTCTCCACTATCTTTTTCTTTATTCTCCCAACCTACTTACCTTATCAACTCCTTTTTTAGAAAGATAAAAAAAGGTTTTTTTCATCTTTATAGTCATATTCCATCCCTTCATTATGTTTACCCTTATATACATTTTTCATTTTTTAAAATTTTGAGAGATAGTATCTTCTGAGAGACCAAAATACTCCCAAAATTAAGTGAGTGACCCTGTTCTAGTCACTAGTATATATACTTTTTTATATTGTTTCTGTATTTGTTTTCTTTTTTTAATTTTTTTTCTGAACTTTTTACCCCCCTTTCTTCCCCCCAACGATTTGGGGTCTCTTCTGATTTGGTTAAAGCACATTTTCACAGGGTCTTTGCCACCCTTTTAGTATTTTATCTACTCCTTCATATATTATCTGGACAGAATGACAAGGCGGAAAAACTCACCACAAAAAAAAGAACAAGAGGCAGTACCAATGGCTAGGGACCTAATCAATAAGGACATTGGTAATATGTCAGATCTAGAGTTCAGAATGACGATTATCAAGGTTCTAGCTGGGCTCGAAAAAGGCATGGAAGATATGAGAGAAACCCTGTCTGGAGAAATAAAAGCCCTTTCTGGAGAAATAAAAGAACTAAAATCTAACCAAGTTGAAATAAAAAAGCTATTAATGAGGTGCAATTAAAAAATGAAGGCTCTTACTGCTAGGAGAAATGAGGCAGAAGAAAGAATTAGTGATATAGAAGACCAAATGATAGAGAATAAAGAAGCTGAGCAAAAGAGAGACAAACAACTACTGAACCACGAGGGAAGAATTCAAGAGAAAAGTGATACCATAAGACGAAACAACATTAGAATAATTGGGATTCCAGAAGAAGAAGAGAGAGGGGAGCAGAAGGTATATTGGAGAGAATTATTGTTGAGAATTTCCCTAATATGGCAAAGGGAACAATCATCAAAATCCAGGAGATGCAGAGAACACCCCTCAAAATCAATAAGAATAGGTCCACATCCCGTCATCTAATAGTAAAATTTACAAGTCTTAGCGACGAAGAGAAAATCCTAAAAGCAGCCTGGGACAAGAAGTCTGTAACATACAATGGTAAAAATTTAGATTGGCAGAGGACTTATCCACAGAGACCTGGCAGGCCAGAAAGAAATGGCATGATATATTCAGAGCACTAAATGAGAAAAACATGGAGCCAAGAATACTATATCCAGCTAGGCTACAATTGAAAATAGAAGGAGAGATAAAAAGCTTCCAGGACAAACAAAAACTGAAAGAATTTGCAAACACCAAACCAGCTCTACAGGAAATATTGAAAGGGGGCCTCTAAGCAAAGAGAGAGCCTAGAAGTAATAGATCAGAAAGGAACAGAGACAATATATAGTAACAGTCACATTACAGGCAATACAATGGCAATAAATTCATACCTCTCAATAGTTACCTTGAATGTAAATGGGCTAAAATGCCCCAAT